TGACTCAGCTTATGGCCATCAGAAGGCCCAGAAAAAAAGAACCTTCCTTGAGAATGTGACTGAGAGCTTTTGAAATTGGAATAAGGGCCTAGACAAAGCCAAGTGCTCAAGACAGAAGCAAATCAAGTCAAAATAAACCAGATGGCAGTGAGCTCCAGGTTTCCCTCATGTTAAGCCTGCTCAATTTACCTGTAAAACTCAGTGACTCACTCATGGAGTGCTACAGCTCCACCAAACCCACTCTGTGCTGAAAATGTTTCCATAGGGAAGGTAGACTAAAAGCTTGGATCACTGGTTGTTGGCAAGAGGGATCTCTAAGCACATTTTCCAGGTCATTTAAAAATGACACAAATACCCAAAGTTTCTCTTCCTGTAGAACCTGCTTGACCACCCATTTGGAATGACCTCAGGCCTAGCACAATGCTCAGTGTTTGTATGCTTAAGTGGAAATACAGGGGCTGATGTATTTTTATTTTGCAGGCCTGGATTTTTTTCATGGTTGTTTATTTTAGCATTACTTGGTTTGAATCTTCAAAGACGTTCTTAAGAGAAAATCGTTATTATTCATATGGTAAGTGCAGGCCATGCAGCACAACTTGGTGAGATAAAATCTGAGCGAAACTCTCAAATCTGAATCCCACATGTAGGGGAGAGTCTGGCCTACAGACTTCCTCTAATTAAATGCCTGTCTAATAAAATGCCATCGAAGGCATCCAGATGACTGTTACGGGGCTGAAACAATTCATTTTAAGTTCTGGAACTCATTAAATGCATTTCTTCATGCTAAAAGAATTTCTTGCCTTTTTGGTTTGCCCTTAACAAGCAACAGCAAAAGCAACCATGAAAGGGTCTATAATTTACATATTTTGAAATAATATCCAACAAAAGATATTAATGCAAGGAGCTCTGGAATAGCCAAGAGTGGCTTTAACACTTGTGTTACTCTGTAGGGTTTTACCTCCAATCCACAGCCTTGAGATATTTTATAGAGCAGCAGAGAGGAGCCAGGGTTGGAAGGCCTGGATTCCTTGGTGAGTCAGTAGACCTGTGCACCGGCTAGTGTCTTACACAGATTGGTTGACAAGTCTTAGAAAGCCCTTTGGAAATCTGAATGATCCACCAGTCTCCAGTTTTTGCTACCCGTTCTTCATGGCTAACCCTCTTCTTGGCCTTTCCCAACTTTAGTTCAACTGTGTGTACACAGGCCCCTCTGAAGTCACACAGTGCAAGTCTGCAGGCCCAGGAAAAGACCTGGAGACTGGAGCTTCCCAAAAGTCAAAGCCTGGAAGGTGGGTTGGTAAGGGTTGCTGACTTTTTCCTGAGCTTTGCAGTGACACTGGTGACATGTCATCTCAGCAAACCCATTCCACCAAGCTCAAAGCAGGTGTGTATTTTCTGTCTGACCAACCAACGTTCTGGGATCCTTATGAGCACAGGACAAGCTTCCCTAGGGACAACCAGCGAATATTCTCGGCACATCAGGATATGTAGCCTTGGAACAAACTGTGCTCCTACTCTTTGCACTATTAATCACACCAGGATTGTTGCTTTCATAAATACTGACTAAGAAGCAGAAACTGAATTACCGGGCAGGTATAAAACCAGTGAGAGGAAAATCCAACGTGCAACTCTGAAGTGGAAACTCCTGTCAGTAAACAAGTGATTGATTGTACAACGATTGATCAACTGCTTTTAAAACACTGTAGCTAAAATCACATCTGCAGGAAAAAGCAAAACAAAATCACTACCAGAGCATGTTTTGCTTTGGAGGTTTATATCTGATGATCTATGCTATATCTGCATTATAAGTTAATATGTACTACTCATTCACACTTAAGTTATCAGACTGCTGAATAATCAGAGGTAAAAGGAAAAAACATTTGAACAAACTACCTGCACAATTAAACAACAGGCTTTCAAATAACTCCACTCAACTCACATTTGACTAAGCTTTCATACAGCAAACTGACATCTTTTTCTATGTCTAACAGAATATGCAAAACCCCACAATACAAGGACTTCTTCCCACCTATGATGGCTCACAGCTGCCAAACTCGACCCATGGTCTTCACATCTGATTTGTATTATTCATCTATTCAAGAGTCTCTAAAATTAAAATGTAGATTCTAAAAGGTTCTATTGCACCAAGATCACAAAGAGTGAAAATACTGAAGTCTAGCGATCAAGGTTATAGTTTCATCTTTGTTGTGCACAGCTGTATTGTACGTAAAGTCACTTAACTTCATCAGGACAAGTTTTCCACAAGGAGGGTTTGCTGTGATTCTGTTGAATTTATACAAATCTGAAGCAAGATGTAAACAGGCTACTTCAATGAACAACTTTCAAAAATTATCCAATAATCGGTTTGATTCATCAATCATGCACTGAATCAATGCTTAGGAAAATAAAACAAGAATGTTTGTACAAAAACAAGTTAGCTCTTCAGAATCTTTAAAACTGACTTCTCGACATTTGGACAGTCGAACATCCGTGAACCACAGGTGAGTCAGTACATATTACTACGGCCTGCTGCCAGATTCTGCCTGGCTCCCTAAATGTACCCAGCTACACCTCTGTGAGGAAGTCACAGGCTGAGTCTTGTAAGGCCACCGGCATGGCAGCCCATTAGGGATGTATCATTGTTAGAACTCTTTTCAGTAATTTTATAGTTACTTCAGATCTAAACATTTTATTGTATAAGTTATTTTTTAAAAAAGTACCAAAGACTGAAAAGTACAAATAACAGGCATTAAGAAAAAAACAAAAGCACTTGTTCTGTGACACTTTCCTTACTTTTCATGGTATTCCCCTAGACTCAACGAGGTGCCTGGGTCAGCTTGAGAAATGACACTGGCTACCCAGTAGAGCTGTCTGAGGAGCCCATGCTGGAACCAAGCCCAACAGAGCAAAATCTCGAAGGTCAGAGGAGGCATCCCTAATTTTGACAATGCTCAAGTGATACCAACATGCAGCTAAGCTGATACACCATTTGAGCTACAACCAGGCTCCTTGAGGCACTGACAGAGGTGGGCAAGGTCTAAACAAAGCCAACTTTTGCTCCTTATGCTTTCTTCTACCCAGCTCAGAGAATCATCCACATGTCACTGTGTCCCCATAGAGGACACCACTCACAAGAATGAGCATAAAAATCAACCAAGGACAATGACACTGACAGTGGTCTTCCCTGGGCTATGTATGATGGATAAGCTAGCAAGCAGTTGTCTACCCTGCTGGTGACAATGGTGCCAATAGTGAGCAATTACTTTTCCCTGCTTCACCATTCAGTAGCATTTCTCTTTCACCAAGCCAATTTGAGAGACTGAAGGATGACTTCTTAAAACAGAACTATTTGACCCACCAATGCAAAACCAAATCAAACCAGCAACCAAGAAAATTACCATTCAGGGAAATCTAACAATCTCTACAGCACTTCATACAAAGCCTGGAAAGCCAAAATAACACCAAATTCTTCCCATTAAAATATTCATTATTCTTGAGTAGAATTTCACCAACACAATCTCAACTAGCAATCAACGTACATTTGGCCTTGAATTTTGTTAATGCCTCATTTTATGAGGCATAGAAAAGCACCCTCCTTTTAAAGAAGGGAAGAGAAAGGCAAAGTCAAGGCTTCTTCTGTGATCTCAAAGACACTTCAAACATTCAAACCAATAGGAACACACATAATTGAACATACACAGAACTGCCATAGAACGCACTATACATATTCCCATATTCCTCATAAATTATCTCTTTCCAACCTTCAACCAGTAAAATAAACAAGCTCCTGGTAACTTGTCTTAGGACTTGCTGGCTGTTTTGTCCATCTTTTCAGGGAAGACAAGCCACTTGTGTGTTTTGTTTTCTTTAAAGGTTTTAGAAGTCAGACATGCTCTATCAGACATGTACCTGTTCACAATTTCCTCTAGCAAATGTTGACTACAAATGAACAAGTGACTAGAACAGAGATCTCTGTTGCAACCCTGGACTCCTGATCCCAGGGAGCCAACAGCTGACTGCTGGCTTCCAGCCTCCTCACTCAGCCTCCTTACTCAGATGCAGGTCACCCAAGACTTTCTGACTTCTTTGCACGGAAGGGGAGCTCAGCCCTGCTGAGGGAGTGAATGCTAGGGGCTGGCTTGAAGGGCTCACCAGAGCAGAGTCCGAATCACCAGATTCGGTCCCACTGCTGGTGGAGCCCTCGGCCATTTGCAGGGGTGCCAGTTGGCCCACCATGCTACTGGTGCACGCTGACTGCACGAGAGGGATCTTTGAGGTGGGACCCACAAGAGGTGTGCCATTGGCCAGCACCCTACCTTCAGAAGCAGCCATGTTGGTCGGTCCTCCCTTTTCATAGTCCTCAAGTCTGTCTGTGAGCTCTAGGGTGGAGGCTACCTGGCTGAGGATGAGTGGATCTGTCTCCGACTTATTATATCTACTAGGGAGATTCTTCAAGTATGGCCTCTGCAAAATGGGGGAAGAGATTTCACAGGGAGGAGCCTGAGCAGGGAGAGTGTCTTCTCCCACACTCCTTTCTCTAAGGTCAGGTCCATTTTCAGAAACATAGCCCTGGGATCCAGTCCTGTCCCAGCTCATATTTGGACTTGGACTTCTACTGCTGGGGGCCACTGGAGTGGCTAGGGGACTGTGACCAGCTGAGGCCCTGAATATTTCATCTATCAGGGAGCTATGCCTTGGGAGTCCAGGGCTGCTACTCATATCAAAAGTAATATCTGCTGAGTCATCATCAAGGAATTCTCTGGAAGAAGGCCGGGAGGACTTTGCAGAGGGAGGGGAAGCTCTGTGCCTAGCTTCTGCTGCCCTCTCATCCCTGGAGAGCAGATAAACACCACTGGTCAAATCACCCTCATAATTGTCATTTGTTTGGGACCGTGACTGGGACACTTGTTCTCTGAGAAGGTCATATTCACTATCTACATCACTGCAGTCAATGAAAGGAATGGAAGTACTGCTGCCTCCAGCAGCCCGGGATGCTGGACCTGTGCTTGGCTGCGAGGGCTGAGGTTTACTTGGCTGGATGTGATCCTTGCCACCCTCCTCCTCTTCCTCTTCCTCTGGTGGCACCGTGGTGGCTCCATCTGCCAACTTGCTCCCTGGAGGGCTCTTGGGCAGAGCAGGACTTTGGTGTGGTCCCGACTCTTCGGTGGATGCTTTCGGTTCCTTTCCTTGCTGGTAGCTCTGGCCACCGGGGGACCCAGCAACTTCTCCAAGTGTAAGGCTGACACTCTGTGGAGACTGGAGGGAGGGTCAGGAAAGGGGTGAGGAAGATTGTCACCCCAGAGCTGAACAGAAGTCCAGAAGTCAGAGTGCCATTTAATATCAAGTTCCTGAGCTTCTAGCAGCTCAAAGGCCCAGCAGACTGAGGCTATCCTGGCCTCCCCAGGGCTGGAATGAGGCACTCATAGAAGCGGCACCCATGGAAGAGCATTTTTCCTGATCCAGAATATTCCTTCAGGGTGGGTAAGCTGATGAAGTTAGGCACTATCTCTGCTTTCTAGGGCCCTCCATTTTTAATTGGGTTCCCTAAGTTTGTGTGGGACAGCCCTTCTAGCCCAAGCAAGGATGGAAAGGGACAGAAGGAAAACCCATTACAGGCCACTAGAAGTAGTCTTCAAATGATAACTTCTCTGCTTCTACTTCTTAGGGCAGCCTGACAGCCTAAGGGCTCTTTTTGAATTTGTACAATGCAACTACCTTCATGTTCTTCCTCAAAAAGAGTCCTTACTCTAAGAGGAAACCCTGAACATGTACCAAGAAACCAACTCCAGGGACGGTGAGCTCTAGTCACCCTCAGAGCGACAGTGACAATGTCTTTGCTGCCAGTGTGGTCACTACCCTGTGACACAACCCCTGGGAACTTGCTGCCCAGCTCTGTGCCAGTGAAAACTTCAGAGGTGGCACCAGGTGGGAGCCAGGCCAGCAGCTGTGGAGGCAGGTCCCATGTCTTCCCACAGTGGACCCACTTAGCTGACAGACAGCTCGGCTCCCCTGGCTCCCATGGTCGCTTCCATCCCTAAGCTAAGTTCAGGCCAACAGGGCAAACTGCTCAGGGACTTGGATCACGGACTGAAAACAGGCCACGCTCCAGGGCCTGCCACCCCCAGGCTGGGTGCACAGAGCACAAAGCCTCTGTGTCATCAAAGCCAGCACACGACCATGGCAGTGACAGACCCCAAGGTGAAGGACGCAGGACTGGAAAGCCTGCCAGTGGAGAAAGTTAGATCAGAGTTATGACCGTCTATGACCACACTGACCTGTTTTGGCACTTCTGAGTTCAGTGCTGTGGACTGTGTAGCAAGGCTCCTGATGGAATGAATCTTGCTGTGTTTTCTGGGAGAAACCACACAGAGAGCTGAAGTTAGGAGAATTTTGGTTTCAGCGGAACAAAGGGCCTTCAGTTTGGAGCATCAAAGGCATCCCAAGCCACTTTTATAAATGTGACTTGGAAAGCGACACACAGCCATCCTTTTCTAACACCTGCAGGAGTTATGTACGTCCTGAAGTTCAGCAAAGTCTCCTGTCATCAAACTGCACCTTCTTGTCACAGGAAAGGCCAAAGACTGGGGAACTGCTGGACTCAGAACTCTGAAATACAAGCTGTGGTCCAAAATATGAAATCAATTCAGGTATTTGGGTAAATATTTTTAGATCGGTTTTATAATTGAGGCAATTATTACTAGTCAGCTCGCTCACGTGAGTGTGAGGTTCAGGGAAAAGGGCTGTCCTGTAAGGAACTATAGTTATAAATGCAGCGGTGGAAAGAAGTGACGTCAAGGCCACCGGACTTCTCCTTATCCTTTCCCTTCCTTGGTCTGCCTGTCTCCCTGTCATCCCCCACCTCCCACCCCAAGTCCTCTCTGAACAGGCAGAAGAAACTTCTCAGGTGCTCAAACTCACAAAATGGGATAAATACAGAGAGATTTCACTCCAGTGTACATTCACCTTTTCTTTACACTTCCAAATAACACAGAAAAGCCCTGGAGCACCTGCTTGGGAGAGCTGGGCTACCTCTTCTGTGTCCCTCCCAGTACCAGTTGCTAGCTGTCCCACATAATTCGGGGTTTGTTAGCTCTAGAAATGCATGCAAGAACTTGGAGGTGTGGTGGGACAGTCCAGTGGTCCCAACTAGTTGGGAGAGGGAGGGATCACAGTTGGAGGCCAGCCCAGGCAAATTTAGTGCAAGACCCCATCTGAAAAACAAACTAAAAGAGCAAAAGGGCTGTGCGTGTGGCTCAAGTGGTAGAGCACTTGCCTAACAAGCAAGAGGTCCTGACTTCAATCTCCAGTAGTGCCAAAAAAAAAAAAAAAGCAAAGTCTAGAACCTTACATTTCAAGGGACATGTTCAGGGATGGTCACACCCAATATGTTTGTTTATCAACAGAAAATAGGATTAATAAAACGTCTAAGTACTACAGTATTTAAGTGTGGGACACTTAAATCTCAAAAGAAGAGTGGGGTTAAAAAAGTAAGATACAGCGGGCACTGGTGGCTCACTCCTGTAATCCTAGCTACTCGGGAGGCAGAGATCACAAGGATCAAAGTTCGAAGCCAGCCTGGGCAAACAGTTCATGAGACCCTATCTCTAAGAACTCTACACAAAAATTGGGCTGGTGGAGTGGCTCAAGGTGAAGGCCCTAAGTTCAAACCCCAATACCACAAAAAAACAGAAGGTAAGACACAGACTTCCTGTAAAGTATGACAGCCCATCACAGATAACACACATGCAGAATGACTCCCCATGTTCTCTTTGGATGTGTGAATATATACACAAGAAGGGGCGTAAATGTGACAGTGGCCTTTGGGGGATGGGACTGAATGGCATATCACTGATCTGAAATACATGGGGCAGGAAGTGCTTCAGAATGGATGGGGGGGTTAGAAAATTGCAGATACATAATGAATGATCTTAGGGTGCTCCATGAAGCTCATTTATGTTTCATGTTGCCTAAAGGCGATTTTTAGTTGTAAAATAACACTAGCAATAATTTTGTGCCACAACCCATCATATGATGTCAAGTGTGGAATTTTCCATTTGTGGTACCATGTCGGCATTCCAAAAGTTCCAGCCTTTTGAGCACTTTTGGAGCTCAGATTTCCAGATCAGGGACATTAACAATTTTTATTTGTTCATCTTTTTGTTGTTGTTGTTGGGTTTTTTGAGACAAGGTCTTACTATGTAGCCCAGGCTGGCTTCCAACTCATGGTCCTCTCGCCCCAGCCTCCCAAGCACTGGGATTACAGGTGTGCACCACCACACTCGGCTGCAGTTGTTAATTCTAACTTGTAAGAATATGGGTGTTTGTTGTCTTCTCTGTGCATTACAGTAAGTTTTAAATGTATTAAAATGAAAAAAGAAAAGTTAAAAAAATAACCACTTGCACTAAGCAATGTGAGGGCCACCTCTTCATTCCTCCACCCTTCATCTTAGTTTCCTTTGGGCTCTGTGGCTCCCTTGGGCAGTGACACAGGCACCAAGGTCTGGAGCCCACTGTCCAGGGGCCACTTGCCAGCTAGAAGTCCTCTGACTTGACCTCTCAGAGCCTCAGAGTCTTCATGTTTAAAGAAAATCAAAGAAAACTGACCTCATAGCTGGTGTGAGGACTGTGAGTTAAAACAACCAAGTGCTCAGAGTCACGGCCGGCACAGACTAGGAGCTATAAGTGTTTGTTGACAACAATGGAGATAGCAATAAATTCTGTCTCTTCTCATTGGAACCTTATTTAATTAAAAAGTTTATAGAAATCCTTTCACAGGCTGCTGAGGAACAGGTCTCCACACGGCTGTAATCTTTGTGCTTGGATAGTTCTCCCACTCCTTCTCCACCCATCAGTCCATTCTTCTTATCTCACCCAACTCTTTAGGAAGTGCTCAGGCTCCTAAAATGTTCCTCTTGAACTCTGGACCTGAAGCTGGAGTTCTGTACACACTAGTCCCAGCCTGGGCAGAGAAATACTTAGCAGCCATGAGCTCTCACCTGAAGAAAAGGGAGGTAAAAGTGCCTCACCTCTCAAACTGCACTTTCTTGTGTCCTCCTTCTTTGACGAAGTCGAGAACCTGCTTCTGAGTCCGACCACTAAAATGAAGACCACGAGAGGAAAGGGAAAAAGACACCAAGGCATGCTCACTTAAATATAGCACCTGTTACCTCTACGCCCCTTCCTTCCACACCTGGGAGGCATGCAGGTTTTCTCAGCTAACCAGGAATAAAGTCAGTCCTAAGAAAACCTGTGCTTTTGTGTCCATTCAGTCTCTCAATATTTCCCTAATGATGAAACATTGGATTTAACTAAATCCACTTAACAATAATGTGTTTGGTTAGGTCCATCCCAAGAGTCTGGACCGTTCACAAAGGTGGGGCAATTTGGTTCACTGTTAAGACTCCCAGTGCCTACTATTGGGCACATGGCAGCCATTCAGATATTTGTTGAAAAATGCGGTGGAAATGTGAACCAATGATGACTAAGTCTATGCGTTATTCTGTGCAGCAACACAAAATAGTAACTAAGACACTTTTGCTCCCCCAGAGACAGAAACCCCTTTCTAACTTAGAGACTAGTGGGCTGGGGATACAGGTGGACGGTAGAGGCCTGCCTAGCATGTGCAAGGCCTTGGGTTTGATCCCTTGCACCACAAAACAAACCCCCACCAAAAAAAATCCATCCATCTAGAGGCCCATGTTAGGAAATGACCATAGCTGGGTGGATTGCCAAGTGCTTGTGCAAGGTTCAAACAGCCCAGGAGGGTGATATACAAAGCTGGTGGGATGACCATGACAGTGTCGCCACAGGCACAACTCTGCAGGAAATGAATGTGGTGTCCTAGCCACACACCACAGCAGCTGTGATAGGTCTGAGGAAAAGAAGTCTCAGGAAAAATGTTCACATTTGTTACCTGAACCTAAACGAAGACCCTCGGCTAAAGAGAACAGGTTTTGGCTTTGGTTTGGGCTCTTCAAAAAGTCTAAAAAAAGCATGGTGCTCCACACAGATTTTCCAGAAGGACTTGCAGAAATCGCGACTGGCCATCAGGAACTCCAAGGTATCCTGGTATGAGCTCTAAAAAGAGAAGACACAATTTTCATTTTTTTCCATTGGCCACAGACATTCTGTCAAAGAGAAAAGAAAGAGAACTTGAGCTTGTCCAATAAAATTTCAACAATGAGTTTTACTACAGCAAGACCATTAACACAATGACAATAAAACACTGTTGTTTCTAACAACGAGGTTGGTCACTTTTAACCCTCTTCCTTCCCACAGAATTCCTGACAAATGAATGAAAAAGAACAGAAGTGATAGTATTTCTTTGACAGAATTTATAAACACTTTGTGTTGACTTGGCTTATATTTCCTTAAAAATAATCTAAATACTAAAATTCCCTTTTTGCCTCCTTAAAATAACTGAAACACATTTCTTCTGTTTTCTTCCTCATGGTTCCTGTCAGCATTGACTTTTGCCTCAAGTCTGTTCTCTACATAAAAGCAAATGGCTCAAGCCTCTGGGTGACCCCAGGAACTATGTTGGAAATGAAACCATTTTGTTAGAGCAAAAGTATTACTCTCAGCTGAAAATTTTGTGTCCTTTGATTCTGGAAAGAGAATATGGTAATTTTCTACTCCCACACTGAACATCGCCAGTTTCAGCAACCATATTACATAAACAGAGGTCACCACAGTCCTTAACTTTCCAACTATTTTGGGGGATCTCATATTTTGAGCAGACGCAACTTACAGACAACGCATGCTGCATTTCTGCCTGTGTAACTCAGCTTTCTGGAACCCAAGTGGCATTTTCCCACCAAGAACCAGGTGTCTGCTTCCCAGTAAGACCATGGAAGCCTACTTCATCCACACTGTGGCTAAACTCTTAAGCCTACACTGCAAGTGGGCACCCTTTTTTCCATGGGAAAAAGGACTCTAGGTCCAGGGTGGGGACCGAAACCAGGGATGTATCACCCATCTCTTGTGTGGCCATTTCTGGCAGATGAAGAAGGTGTTGTTCCCCTTCCTGACCCTGTTCCAGCATGGGTGACAACACTGGGGGGGGTTCTGTAGGAAGGGGGGAGGACCCGGAGCTTGTGGGAATGAAGTCCATCGGAGCTGTGGAGAACAACAGGAGAATTGGGGTCTGCATCTGGGTGGGCAGGAATACAGCAGAATGCTGAATGGATCTCGAGGTGGGATCAGGGGCCGAACACACAGCCCCAGCACAGCTCGGGTGGCTTGTCCAGAGACTGTATTTGTGCAGAGATGGCCCTCTGCCCAGGTACACATCTAGGCATCTTCTTCACACCCTCTCTCTGGGTACCAGCCATGGCGGCAGTGGATTCCGCAGCCTGGGTTGCAGCTGATCAGTGTAGACCTCACCCCTGGCACTGTCCACCCCCATCACGGCTCAGCTGGCCCTCTGCCATCCCCATGCCACTTACATTGGCGTCGGGTCGGAGCTTGATGAGAAAACGCTTCCTCTTGAAGCTCAATTTCCGCACCTTGGCCCAGTTGAAGGCATTGATCTTGGTGAAACCCTAAGAAGCAAGACAGTGGTCAGTGAGCCAGGACGTGCAGAATGAGCCACAAGGGAGGCCGGAGGCCAGGCTGACACCGATCACTCAGGAAGACGCCTTCTGTTGGAAGGTTCTCAGGGTGTGTGGCTGTCTGCGGTCATTATCTCTCACTAATATCTGATTTGGCATTCAAACTAAATCTGGCTCCAGGGAGAGAAGGTGCTAGCTAAGGTAATGATAAGAGGAAAGATTAATAAAAATAAAACCATGACAACCACCTTAAAAGTTAGCAGCCATCAGTTATGAGTGCCAGGTCCTGTCCTAAGGGCGTTAGATACCTTATCAAACCCTCCCTATAAAACCAAAGAGGCAGCTTATTATCTTCATTTTACAGACACAGAAACTGCAACATGGATATATTTTCATTTGCCCCAAATGACACAATTAAAGTGGCCAGGAGAGATTCCTGGTGTGTGCCTTAGCCAAGTAGCTATTATTATTTACACGACATGAACGATCAACATACTGGTCCCTATTCCTCTGGAGCCTGTGCCCACCAAGCTCCCACAGCACCAGCAGGACTAAGGAAGGAGGCCAGGCCTGACGCATGACTTCTAGGTCAGTCTGGGACTCCCACGTCCTAGGTGTCTTTGGACAGAAACAAGAGGCAGTGGCAGACTCCCACCTGCCCGGACTTCACAGGAATCAAGATTCCTCTTGAACACCAGGCCCAGTCATTCACAATGGTGGGAATGAAGCAAACAGGCACCCACAACAAGATTAATTCCAAGAAAGCGCCTTTCACGTGATTAAATCATTCCACACTTCTCAATATTTAATTTGCAACAAACACAGACAAAGCAAATTAATTCAATCGTAAGAGCTTTCTCCTTCTTTATGCTTTGCAGCAGTGTTTAAGGGTTGTGATTTTGAAATTTAATGGCAATAACTGAATTACATGTGGCTTTTATTGTTTTTCTCATCAGATACTCATGGATTATTTGCAGATAAAGAACTGTTAGGCGCAGTCACTCCCTCAGATACTGTCCTGCTCTCAGAACGCCACTCTTTGTCCTGATGTGAGACCCAACACCAGCTCTTCGTGGGATGCGCTGCAATACTCACCATGTGTCATAAACACCTGATGCTCGAGCAGAGCTTTGCTGTGACTCTGGGCAATATGACAGGGGGACATAAGCAAAGCCTGCAGGCTCACAAGAGTTTTAGGTCACAAACATATTTGTAACTTTAAAACTGGGGGAAATTTGACCAGTTTCATTAAAAAAAAAAAAAAAAGGCAGATATTTTCTATATAGCCATTGAAACGAAGGCCCAAGTTACCTGCTTGTGTTTAAGAGAAATGCATTTTGAGAACATTTTGGGGGTTATTATGGTTTGGATATGGCTTAAGTGTATTTCCTAAAGGATCTTGTGATGGAGGCTTGATATCTAGTTGTGGTGATATTAGGAGGTGCTGGGACTTTTAAGAGGTGGGGCCTAGTGGGAGGTCTTTAGGTCACTGCATGTGTGTGCACACCCTGGAAGGGATTAATGTAGTCCCCATGAGACCACAGAAGCTCTTTAGTCTCCTGTCTGGCAATGTGATCTCCTCTTCTTGCTTATGCTCCGGCCATGATACATCCACCATGAGGTGACACAGCTATGGGGTCGGTTTTTTTTAGCCCCTAAAATTGTGAGCTAAATAAACCTCTTTTCTTTATGTTACCCTGCCTCAGTTATTTTGTGTTACAGAGAAGGGGCGTTCATTACCTTGATTTCATTGATGGTTTCGTGAGAAACACATACATAAGAAACCAATATCTTTAAATACACGTATATGTCGGTAACATATACCAAATGAAGCTATTAAGAAAAAAACATTGAGGAATAAAATAGTCCAGCAGCCAGGTGATTAAAAAGCACACATTAAACAGGTGCTGGTTGCCTGTGCCTGTAATCCTAGCTACCAGAGGATCACAATCCAGTCCAGCCTGGACAAAAAGTGAGACCCCAATCTGCAAAATAATCAGAGCAAAAAGGACTGGAGGCTTGGCTTGAGCGGTAGAGCACCTGCCTACGAAGCGTGAAGCCCTGAGTTTAAACCTGGTGCCACCAAAAAGAAAAAAAAAGCAGTACACAATTGAAAAGTGAAAATCATTACACCCTTAGGTAAGATACAGGTAAGAATTCAAATCTTGCTGAAAAATTACTATGGTACAAGGATATAGCTTTTATGAATTTATAAAACTACTCTGTCTCAAAAGTATACATTTTTAAAGCTCGGTATATCTGAAGTCCCACATAAATTGGCTCAATCCAAATTAGATTTAAAAAAAAAAGAAAGATCACATTACAGCAAAATGTTAAAACCGTGACAAGATGTTTGACTCTGGGGTCCAAATTTCATTCCAGTTTACCCTCTTTTAAGTCCAGATCCTCTAAGAGACACAGGTCTTATGGCCCCTAAAAAGTCAACAAACCCAAACAAACTAACATAGATTCCCCAACCAGGGCAAGGGTGAATGCAAAAGAATCTGGAAGTTGAGGACCCGGAAAACAGAAGTCTCAGGTGAGATTACTTTTCGTTGTTCACTTGAAAATAGTGACCAGAGGGCTCGGGCTGGCCTGCCCACATGACTCAGGGTGACAGGGCCCACTCTTTGCCCACCCGCACCAAGGAAAGGGCACTGTGTTCTCAATGCTCTCACCTGAAATACTAGAATTCCCGTGTTGGCGACGGCCAGATTGATCTTGGTGCCTTCCCTGTCCTTGGCGGGGTGTAACCGAATCCCGTACATCTCCAGCCGCCGGGCCACCTCCAGGAGCTGGAAATCGGACTCTGCTGGTGTTTGTCCACTGACAAAGCAAAAAGGGAAGAGAAAAGCCAGGAGATTTGAATTCCCTGTGTCGATTAATTCCAGATTAAGCAGCTTCTCTTGGAAAATAAAAGGCCCTTCATGGCAGGCAGTAGGGCAGTCCGATCGGATGGCACCCAGACTCCCACTTGCTGCACTCAAAGCCTCCACGCCAGGACAAAAGTGCCATTGCTTGGGTAACACAAAACCCCAAAGTCTGTCTCTCACTTGGCCAGTCTTTTAGAATCTCAGTTTCCTCCAGGTCACATAAAAGCAAAATACCACAGTGTTAGCAAGTTTTTAGTCACTTTCAATAAGAGAAATTATAAGTAAAGTTCAAGGCAACTCTCCTACGGTCACCAGCATCCTTTGAAAATGTTCTGCTTGTCAAAGCAAAAGCCAAAAATGGAGATGGCATGAAGGTTCTAGAGTTTTACAATAATCTTACTTTATGTTCAGTTACCATGTGCCTTTCCCAGTGTCTGCTAAGATGATAGTTAGAAGATCCTGAGGTCTTCAATCTCCCTTTATCCCAAAGCCTGGGGCACCCATAAATTCTAGGCTCATCTGGTCTCACAGGAAGGCAAGCCAGAATCTGGAGACTTCCTGTAAGTGGGGAACCTGCATTTCTGAGTGTCTGGGATCATGCCAACATCCCAGTGAGCCCTGAATACTTCTCCCTCCAGCTTTGTGTATTTCTTCACAACAGCATACACACATGTATGCATGTACACATGCGTGTGCCATACCTCTGTACATGCTGGGAGGCAGAGAGCAACAGTTCAAAGGAACCGTGAAGCTGTGCGTGAGACTTACATGTGGTTATGGTGAAATTCCACAATTTTGTCTTCTAGAGCATCTTGCTGAGGTATGTACTTATTCTTTGCTAAGTGCTCCCGGTCCAAGGCTTCATCAAAATCCCCAATCTCAGCTGAAAAGAAACAGAGAAATAAAAGTAGGCCATGTAGAGTGAATTCTTCATCATTTGTTCAATTCCCCAACTAGCAAGACAGAAGCTTGCAGAGAACATCAGGTGAGCCCAGCTGGTGGGGACCATCAGAAGGCTCTGACCCTCACTGGGGATCCAGGATATATTTCACAACTGCAGCAATATACAAGATGATGTCTACTGCTCATCACTAACAGTTGCAAAGAAAACTTCTGATGTATCCAGCTTTAGCCATATATCCTCTTGGGTTTTTTTTCCTCTTTTTTCCCCTCTATTTTCATCATTTTGTTTTGAATACACATATTTGAGTTGACACATGGGAATTACACATATTTATGGCACAGTATGGCATTTTGATACAAGTATACAATGTGTAATGATCAGATCAGGGTAGCTGGCAGACCACCATTTACCATTTCTCTGTGTGGGGCACATCAAACTCCTCTCTGATAGCAATTCTGAAATATGCAATTAGTTGTCACCAACTGCAGTTATCTTACTGTGCTGCAGAACATGAGAAGTTCTTCCTCCTTCTCTTCCTCCCCACCCACCTGGGGTCACTTCCCTTCTCAGTGATGACTCAACACATAACGGAGTCTCAGCATGACTTTTAGACAGACCCTGGAGTGTTAGGACTTTACGAAATCAACTTTTGAAACTCTTACATATGACAATTACTGGTGAAAAACTCAAATCCTTGATCACAGGGAGAAAAGAGCATTGCAAACAGGACTGAAGAATACCATCTACTGGTATAAAAAAAAAGTAAAGGAGTTTGTTAAACTCTTTTAATAGTATTCCTGTTGTCAGAAATACTAGGTCAGATTGCAGTCATAAATTTTTCATCCACAAGAAATAGGATGCGTTTTCTCACGTAACCTCAATATCTTCCTCAAAACTGCTGTGGTGTGGAAATTTACAACACAGAGCTTTAAAATAATAATTGTGCTTTTAGCTTACGAACACTAGCTCAAGCCAAGTTCATCTCAATTGTGAGCCCCTGGGGTGGCATGCCTTTTTCTTTGTATCCTAAGGTCTGTGGAACAAGCTTAGTAAAAAGGAGCCTGATCGCCAGAGTCCAGCTGTTGGGTGAAAAGCAAGTGAGTGGCTGCTATCAAACCTACCTTTGCTCTGTCATGAGCCTGTCACATTGGGGCAACGCACCTCCAGTCATCAAGCAGGACATGGCTCGTATACCACCGTAAATCACACCCACTCAGAATGCCTGCTCCACTCAAAACTGGGCCAACTCACCTGGCAATGCCCAGGACACTGGATGAGTCCCTCACTCACTAGCTTCCTCCTGTGACTGGTACCACTGTTTCCGAACTGCCTTTTCTGGATGAAATTCCCCTTTAATTGTGGTAAAACTGCTACCCTCCATCACCAGAAACAGTCAGAAAGGAGGGACATCCCTGGCACACAGTCATTGTTATCAGTCACAGTAACAATGGCAGCCATGATTTCTATGCGTTTCCTTCAGTGTGGGCTCAAGAAAGGACAGCTGAGTCTCGTCATTCAAGGCAGTTGTTATTTAAAGCCACAGTGCAGAGTGAATCAGTGATTACTGAGCCGCTCTTCCTAGGGGAAATTCAGGGTTAGCTTCCTGCAAAACTCCTGAGACGGTATTTCATGAGCTGACTTGGTTGCATGTGTGTTGCTGCTAAAGGGCATCCCACTGAATACACGTGATTCCTTCACACTGAACTCGTGGCCGGTAGCAGAACTCATGCCTGAATGAAACCCATCGAACGTGCATTTTCTCCACAAGGCATGTCATGCTCACTTAGGGAGCCAGACGGCTCTCAGCACCTCGCTTGGGGCCGATTTAAACAGTGAAATCACCACCAACAGCATAAAACTCGAAAACGTGGCACTGAACAGTCCCAGAAAGGACCCTTGTTAACAGGCCGAGAGCCCAATCACGAAGGCAGAGCTTTGTCTTGTTTAGCCATGCGACTCCCATTTATAGGTACGTCTGCGAATGACTGAGGAAATGCACAGGAATTGACTTGGTAGGGGCAAATTTTAGTTTTATGTCCTAAGACTAATGCACCATATTCAATAATAAATATGAAATCCAAGGACTGGAGAGAATGGGTTTGATCTACTAGTCACTGTCATTTCCCTTTCAGGCAAATGAGATATCACCTGTATAAAAAACACTGGATTCCTAAGCTGATGTCCCAGGCTACGTGTATGAAAAGAAGGTAGGAGAGGGTTTTCTCTTCCATCAGAGGTTCATACCAACAGCAAAAATGACATAAAGATGTTGGTAAAGTTGTTTTTGTGAGCTTGGGTGTGGATGTGATTTTTCTCCCCATCAATCAGGTCATTGTGCCATTTCCAGCATGCCTTTCAAAGGAAGCCAAAGAACTTACATTGTACAATGTGTGAGATCAAGAGGGCGGCGCTGGTGTCATTACACGTCAACCTGCCTTGAGCCAAGTCCTGCTTCACCTGCAGAGCAAACAGGTACCTGCAAAGGTCAACAAAGATGAGCGTCACACAAAGGGAGCAGATGGCCGCGGCAAAGGCAGGCTCAGCCCAGGCAACCTGTGCACACTGAGGGAAACGAGCATAGAAAACCACATCACAAGAGGGATTCTTGCCAGTCAGTGCAGGTTAAAAACTCACTTCCCTAAAAAAGAGAAAGAACAGGAGGCATTTGCTGTAATCTTTTCACGGAGAGAGTAATACATCTCATTTTATATGAAAGGGAACCATAAAAATTCATAACTGTAACCTACGCCCTGCGTATGTGTGTGAAACACTCAAAATTTTTCAGAAGGATCAGTCAACATATTCTAAAATGGCTTTTCGCCTCAGACAATAATGGTAGTTTGATTGTGGGTAATAAGAACTTTGCCAATGCATCAGAAAAACAGGATATCTTTTTCCTGGTGTAATACTCACTTAGCTATTTCTACAAGCCTTACCAGCTCTGTAAACCTCAATTCAAGCTATGTTAACATTCTTTTCTTTATATTGTAGGATAAAGCAACTCAACATTTTTGGTATAAAAGATATATTTATAGATCAAAGAAATGAAGCATAAACTGAGGAATGTGACAATGGATTCTGAAATATGTAATATAAACTCATGCATTTTTTAGGAGGGTACCAACTAGCTTTGAGTGTCTCTTCTTTAATGACCCTTAGCAACCAGACTTGTTCCTCATACTTATGAATGTATTTTTTAAAGCTGTATTGTCTGCAAGCAAAACTAGAAATTCCAAGTTCACCTTGTTCCCTTCCCTTCCCCAGATCTGGATCCTTGGAGAAATGACATAAAAAAAACACAAAAGAAATAGCTTCATGGGGCCTCCACTGGCTAAAGCTGTGACAACTCAAAAGGAAGAATGACTAAAGTGAACTGAAACACTGAATTCATGATTATTCATGAGTCCATAATGATATTCAAAAGAGAAAGCAGAGAAAACTGAACATACCACCACTTGAGGAACTATTTAAGCAAATTCTTGTTCAAAACTAGGTCACTGAAGCAAAGACTTGGGTATGTGATCACCTCTTCAGTGGGAGGGGTTTTAGGACAGACAGAGGGACCACGGAAGACCACCAACTTAGGACGCAAAAGGGAGTACTACCTAGAAAATTCTCACTGCACAGCCTCTGAAGAAATCATTGGCTCTGGCAAGGAGTGTCAATTGATACAAAAGTCATTTAGGAAACTGAAGGTTCACATAGGGCTGAAGTGACACACTTTAATTCACATTAAAAGATGTCCCCTCCTTAAGTCAATGGACAGTCTTAGCAAGGTTAACGAGATATGGAGCAGGATACCACATATGAGGACTCCAGTCAGAAATGTCTACCTGTATCCATCCGGCATCTAGAAAAATGTTGAGTTTTCAGGAAAATACAAAAGTTGGAAGGTTAGGCTAAATGGTACCACAAGGAAACACTCAAAAAGGTAGAAGAGGGAGGGTATTTCTCAGTACAAGACAGCACCATGCAGCAGAAAAATGAGGTAATACGCTAGATTTAACAAGGCCTGCAGGAATTAACAACCAGCTGCAAAACGAGCTCAAAGAGTGACTCTTACTTCAGGACACACAAACATAAAATGGTGCTGGTGGGAGAGGGTTGGGAAATTTGAGACTGGTCAAGGTATTACATGACATGAAGTGTACATACATAAATATAAAAATCAGAAAGGGTATCACACGACCGTGACACACGATAGGAAGGCAGTATTTTTATTTTTTTAATCTTATTTAAATATTCTGATTTTCTACCAGACACAGTTACAATTTTTGTGATCAACTTTGTCATTTGTCTGGTGTTGGGGACAGAATACAGTGCCTCACACTGGCCCCATTTTTAACTGATGAAAAAGCTTTAACAATGTCAATCACAGAGGATTGCATGAGAATTAAATGGAACGATACATGGAAAACAGAGTGGTTACAACAAAAACATTCAATAAGTGTTAGCAAATTTTTTAATAAAAGAATAATTAATCCCTTTACGTCACTTAGTGAGTTCCACTACTAAGAACCAAAACACACAGCACCAGTTGTATAGCCAGCAAATAAAACCAAAACAAACATCACCACAGCTCTACCAGTTTTCACCAGCGACCTTTCTACAACCTCCTTAATGTTTGTCCTTTCTCTCCTGGGCTCCCCAACACCCTCTCTGGAGAGTCCCAGGGAAGAACAGTGGAGACCATGGGACCCTCCAGTCACAGCACAAGGTTCCTTGGGACTAGGGAGTACAAATGTTCTTTCTGGATTACTCGGTGGTCATTGGTGGTTGAACCCAACACTTTCACACAGCCATAGCCTTTAATTCTGATCTGTGTTGTGGTTAATTTTTCAAACCCTTAGGAGGGCTTTGTGTTTCAAAGTCATCACATTCTGAATATCTTACCATTCATTAGTACAAACCCGGGCCCTGTGTTCACAAAGAGGTGCTCAGAGACAGATTCATGGTGACAGTATGACGGCTTTGAAGCGTTTGGTGCTGATCTCACAGGGGCTGCAAGGTGGCCCAGGCTCTGACAGTGTGCACAGTGGTGGAGGGCACAGGCCTTTCTGAAGACTGGAAGGTGAACCTGTCACTCTCTGGTTCTGCTGACTCTCCTGTCCTGAGGCTGGGGTAACATGAGAAACACCTTCCTGGGACCGACACCGTGGCCTTTCTTAGCAACAGGACATGAGCTGTAAGCTGAGCATGCTGGCTACAGCTGATTTCAGAGACTCAGCGACAACTTTGGTACTAAAAACAGAAGTAATTGCAACCAAATCCACAAGAGCCATGGCTCACTTTTATCTACCCGGTAGGCACTAAATACAAGTAAAGTGGCAAACATGGTGAAAACGCCCAGTGCTGGCAAAGCAATCCTCTCTGCTTTGGGGGTGGGGTGGGGTGGGACGTCCTAACGTCTCTCTTTTCTATTAAGTGCAAATATCTACAACTTCCCTGCCAGCCTAAGGAAATGTAGCAGGCAGAGCAGCAGAGTCGGGTGGAGTCCCTGCACTTGGCATGAGAACACAGCCTGGCAGAAGGTGTACCCTACTGAAGAGGGATGCTCAACGGAGGAGAGAGCCACACGTGGCTCAACCCAAGACAAGTGACTCTGAGCCCTCGGTAGCTGTCTTCAACCTGCCTCTAAGCCAGATCTCTTCTCCTTCTAGAAGCCTGGGTGCTGAGTCCACTGATGTTCAAGTCATAAATAGAAAGGAATTCTAGTCACTGTTCACTTAATCTTCTCTCCATTTAAGTGGGAGCTGAAAGCTATTCCCAGAGGCCTGGAACTAACTGCAGAGCTGGGGTAACTTATACACCAGCTTCCCATCTACACATCCGTCCCACAAAAAGCACAGGGGCCACTGAGCCACTCCTGACACACCACAGGAAAGAAAATCTTCATGGACTCATCGTGGTATTTCCGCTATGTGGAAACTGAGAGCGTGGAAGTGTGGATCCATGAGGCTCCTTAGACACCACTCCTGTGACAACGTGGACGGTGATGGGAGTTGATAAATACAGTAGAAATCTTGGATCAATTTTATTCAACACTGATTTGGAAATCACTTCTAAGATATCAGCTCATAATAACAACCAGAGAACAAAACAACAAAACCAAAAACCTGCTGTGTCCATCCAGCAGAGTGTGTGTGACTTTAGGGATTTATCAGTATTGACAGAAAAGCTGGCAAAAACAAACACGAAGACAAAAAAACCAAAAACCAGGCACATCTGGTTTCATGGAAACAAGCCCACAGAGCTTGGGAACAAGGACAGAATGGTGGAACACTGTGCTGTAAAGCTCTCGTGAAGACGATGAGTGATTCACAGAAATCGAAAAGGTGCAAAACTGTTTAAAAAGTAGGGTTTTCAATGGAAAAAAAAAAAATGGAGGCAAAGCCAGGAATTGTGTGTCCAACTTCCTAAGCAGGAAGGAGGCCCAGTGACTGGCAGGAGGGAAGAGCACACTCTCGGCCAACAGCTGGACATGTCTTTGGATTTATTTCAGGATGCTGAGCTCAGAACAATGCATGGGCCAGCCCCAGAAACTGGGATTCAGGGGCCACAGCGAAGATGGCACGCCAAGGCTCCGACATCAGCCCTGGGTCTCCTACAGCCCCTCCTCACTCAGGCCTAGTACCAAACTGTGAGTGGCTCCTGAAGCTGACGACTGCTGCCCATCACTGGCTGCCTTCGCCTCCCTCACTGATTTGCAGATTGTGAGTGAGGTAGACGATTAGTGGTGACTCATTCAGAAAACTCAACATAGGAGGCTGGGCAGTGGTGGTCACGCCTGTAATCTTAGCTACTCAGGAGGCAGAAATCAGGAGGATTGCGGTTCAAAGCCAGCCCCAGGCAAACAGTTTGTGAGACTCTCTCTTAAAAAAACCCTCCACAAAAAAAAAGTCAGGTGGAGTGGCTCAAGGTGTTGGCCTTGAGTTTAAACCCCAGTACCAGAAAACAAAAAACAAAAAACAAAGAAAGAAAACTCAGCAGAGGTAGGAAGAGCCTTTGCCGTGACCTCTCTGTGGAACTCCACGGTTGTGTACCTGCAAGTCTTCTTGAAGCAGCTACATGATGGCTAACTAGTATCTCAGATGTCACCTAGCCAGAGCCAACCCTGACTCTCTGCCACTCCCAATCCTCTACTTCCCTTTATTCCTTTCCCAGCGTAGACATCAACACCACCTACCCAGTGGCTTGAGTCAAGCATCTAAGTGTCTCCTCTGTTTTCCTCAGACTCCACCTCCAATCCACCTCCAAGACACATAGTCAAGCACCCCTCTCTACCTCTGCTGCCTCCACTTTCTTTGCTGCCACCATCCTGGCCTGGATTACTGTCGTCACTTCTGCACTGGTCCCTGAACCTTTCATTTCTGCCTGCAGCATCCTCACGGAAGCCAGTCTTTCAGCACTAAGCACCATCAGGCTTCTTCTGCCTCAATGCCCACCATGTCCTGCCTCACTGGCCACCTTAAGCCTTTGAATATATGGTGCCCATTCCTGAGCACTGTATTGACTGCTCCTTCTCTCTGCCAGGTTCCTCCTCAGAAAACGACTGACAGACGCTCGGTGCTTTCCTGAAAGGCATCTCATACCCAGCAACCCCACGCCATTACTGAGCTATTTCTACCACATCACCCTGCTTCAGTTACCTAAAGAGCTCTTGCCATGATCAGATATTTTGCCTAATCATTTTCTATTTCCACAAAAGCCAAGGCTTATCTTTTCCCCACTGTATTCTGAGCGTCTGGAACAACGCGTGCACACAGTGCACAATGGTGACTAAAAGAATGTCTTCATCCTTCGATACATGGAGGCCAACTACCCAAGACCCTGCGCTCTGTATTGTGAGGGATGGAAAAGATGTGATGACCTTGGTCTTACTAAACCATAGCTTGAAAGGGACATGTGACAAGAATCTGGCTAGTCAGAGTAGTGCACTTGGAAGGAAGGCTCTCTCTTGGAATGCCACCTGTCCTGTCCCACACTGAACTCTAGGGAGAAGTAGTGGTATGATGACAATGGATCTGACTGGTGACAATGATGGTGATGGTGACCGTGGTGGTTGTTATGGTGACAATGATTATGATGGTGGCGATGACAGTGATGATGGCAATGGTGACGATTGCTATCATTTAGCGTGTCCTTACTGGATCCCACCCAATCTGGCCAAACAAACACCGTCGTCTGCATTGAGAGAGGTAAATTAACAGGGCACTGAGGGAACAAGAGGCTGGCCAGCCATACAGCTAGCAAGAGGGAGGGTTGAAGCCAGGCCTTATTCAACACTTGCGCGTCTCCCACCTGGCCATTCTTTCAAAAAACTGACTTATGGTTCACATCAAATCTACCCACCCAGGGCATCAACGGAGATAAATTCTGAAATAACTTGGTTTCAAAGAGACTCATTTCCGCAAACTGTCTGAGGATGTGACAGATACGAGGTGGCTAATAGATATGGCGAAGTGAAGCCCACTTCACTTCAGAATCACAGTCTTAAGAAACAGGCTATGGGAAGACATGGTACTTTCTTTCCCTCATGTTTGTAGGTAGAGATGGGAGAGAGGAAAGTTAAACTGCAAAGCACACAACAGATATGGTCAACTAAATATTCTGAAGACATTTATTTAATCAGTTTAGACTACGTAGTTAGAACTCCACTCACCTTGTGAGTTCTTCTTGGAGCTGTGTGTGGTCAGGTGGGAAGAATTTCACCACAAACTTTACAACAACGTGCTTTGGCCCTAAAGAAGAAGAACAACCACCAAATCAGTAAGGCACTTATTGATTTGTTTAAAGCAAACGAAGACAAAGACAGTATGAGGTATATCACACCAAATACTGCATCTTATTCCACACTCCCCAGTGCCACCGCCAACAACTGGCCAAGTTCAGTTCTGACTTCACACTTTCATATTGTGGATAAACCAGGAATCTGCTTTCTAAAAAAAAAAAAAATCACTGTATCAAAGTGCCATATTGAGAGGGGGTGAATTTGACCGAAGTACGTTATATGCACGTATACACGTACATAATGGGTTCAGCCTCTGTACAAAGGGACTTCCCATTCTACAATTAATATACACCAATAAAAAAAAGAAAAGTGCCATATTGAAAAATTTAACTTTTTCTTTTTGAGATTTAAATTATACTCAAGTTTTCAAAAAAGTCATTTGTTTTCAGAAATGTATTTAACTAGCTGCTTTCATCCAAATATAGGCTTGACATAATCTAGGGAGAAGATAATTAAAATGTAAATCAGTTATACAATTGATTATGTGTAATCGTCTGCTGGGCACAATTGCTACCGTGTTCATCAAACATGTTTCAAGCATGCAGGAGTTCCCCTGAGCTCCAGACACAAAACTCAGATGTGGTCCTGCCTGTGCACAGTCAGCCAAGCCAGAGCCTTTGAGTGTCTCCCGCCATCCTTCCAAGGAGTTCTGATAAGTGGAGTGGAGGCGGGAACTTGGGAAATCAAACAGAACAGTAAATGCATTGAAACACAAGAATTTGCAGTGTGAGTCAGATTTTGTGTTTTGATGTATAAGTTACGATATAAGAATAGCCTCTTTGCTTGCTTGTTTTTTATTATACTTGTTTCCTTTTTTTTTGAGACAAGGTCTTGCAGGTCCAGGCTGGGCTGGAACTCAACATCCTCCTGAGTGCTGAGATTATTGGCGTGTACCACTACACCTGGCCAGAAACTTTTAAGTGCTGCGATTTGGAATAACAGCAATCAAATATAAAGAATGACGAAATCCATTTTTCTTTTGTGGTACTGGGACCTAACCCATGGGCTCAGCACGTACTTGGCAAATACTCTACCCATGAGTTTATTCTCCTAGCTCTACGAAATCCAAAATTTAATAGTAGTAATCAGTACAAAAGCAGAAAATGTCCTTTTCATTGACTTCTCAAGATCACGAATTAAAAAAAAAAAACAAAACAGATTTCACAATATAACTCTTGTGATCACACATTCAAGTTTAGAAAAAAACACAAAGTGATGTATCATGAGGTGGAAATGTTGGCTGTACATATAAATTCGGGAGGAAAAGACCAGGTGTGGAAATGTGAAGCTGAGAGACACAAGTCTCCCTGAATAACTAAAAATGAGCAGAAACCCTGCATGTCAGGGCAGAGCACAAAACCCCAGCAGAATGAGGAAGACAGAGGCCACGCTGCTTCCTCTTGGCCATTTTCACACAGTGGGACTTCAGAGAGGCCATTCAGATCCATGGGGATCCGAAGTGAGGAAGATGCTAGTGGTGAAGGAAGAGTGACAGCTTCGTCACCCAGGGTCAGTCACAGCACATGAAGGTAGCAACATGCCAATCTTTTAGGCTCTGTGCTCTCTTCAGGGCTGAGGGCTGCTCAGCAGGCTTAGCCATGGCTGGCCAAGCCAGCTTCCCCGAGGACATCCGGCAAAGGTCAAATAAAACTGATCCTTTCATTTTCGGCATCAAGAAGTGCTTAACTCAAACGACAGAAGGTCAAGCTCAGTTTCAATTACACAGGGGCCCCCACTGCAGGCCTAGCATATCTACATAAGTGGCTGGAAGTGGCCCACAGGGGTTGTGTTTTGTTTTGTTTTTGTTTTTTGAGACAAAGTCTCACTGTGCAGCCTGGGCTGGCATAGAACTTGCAATCCTCCTGCCTCAGCCTCCCAAGTGCTGGGATGACAGGCATGTGCCACCACGCCTGCTCCTGACAAGTTTTTTAAACAGAAAAGAAACGATCCCACAGGAACTGTGAGCTGCGTGCTGACCACAGGTGCACAGCTCTGGCAGCAAGCATCCTGACTTGCCTGGTCCTAGGTGCAGGGAGCGGCCATTTGGGATGACTTGGGGAACAGATAGAAAAAGGGGTGTCATCTTTCCTACTCTTTTCCAGGCCCTGCTAGTCTTTTCTTTCCAACACAGTCCACACCCAGGCCAGACTCTCCATTTAGAGCTCTGCTTGCCAATCAGAAACACACACGTGTGCACACACACATATGCACATACAGGCACACACGCACACATTAACACACATGTACACCAACATGTGCACACGCACACACACACACACACATACACACACACACACTTGACCACCGCTTTTGTATTGCTCCTAACAGCAATTGTGTTTCTGATTTTACAGGCTTTGAGGTGGGAGAACAGAAAATCTAAAATCAGTTTTCTGAATAGTTGGCTCCACCCATCCTGTTCAGTGACAGTAGGAACAGTGGTGTAGACAAGACAAGCTCGATTATTCCGGGGCTTATTAGCAGGCTTTAGTCACCCAAAATGAGATCTGATTGTCTAAGCTAGGTTTTGATTGCCAGAGGTTATATATTAAAATTGCAGAAGCTAAACATTTTAATAGTATGTGGATTAGTGGAAGGTTGACAAGCAATCAAGGTAGGAAAAAAAGGAATTTATATCAGTAACGTTTCATGCACAAGACAAAAGACGTCTGGACAAAGAGATTGCCTGGCTTTGTATTTGCAGGACACAGGGGACATACTTACTTCGAATCTGCTTCACAATAGGTTTCAAGAGATCCAGCCATACCTGAAGGGAAGAAAAGGGCAGGGTGAGACTTTGAAACTATGTAAAAATCAAAATATTTTTGAGTGTTTGAGGCTTCTTTTTTCTCTAAAATGTCTTATCTTGCATTGACTGACACTTTTACAGAATGAATCTAAATTTGTAAATATTATCCCTGAGTGTGAAAATTAAAATCTCTTAGATGCAGAGAAACGGTTAACAGTTAGGGGATGAGGTGTAGTTCAGGGATAAATCACATGTTTACAAGCATAAGACCCTAATTTGCTCTTCCCCCCCAAAAGTTACCAGCTAACTAATAATTTTTCTAGTCTTATTTGTACCTCCCTCGTATTTGTCTACTAAGATTATATTAATGAATGATTGCATATCTGGTCCTAGTTGAGTGAAACGTGTGTTCTATTTTAAAATTAAAAATACATGGGTAAATACAGAGAAGAGCATATCCTTGAAGGATACAGAAGGGAAACAGATCATGACAGCCTATCATGATCCCACCACATACTACCAGGAGCCGTGCACCTCTCAAAGCAAGCCAGAGGAATTCCTGATACCAGGAGAGAAACCCGAGACTTGCAGAGGCTCCACCTTGTGGCAGGTGTCCCAGCCAGAGAGTGACAGGGCTACCATTGAATCAGGGCCGCCCATCTCCATGTCTTATTCACACGCACGTCCCCTGTGCAGTTCGAGTGGCAAGACTTTCAAATCAGAGAGAAACCAGCTGGCCTTATCAATAAAGCCTAACTTATCCCAGTCTACTTGGTCTTCTCTCTCACCTCCCCTTGAACTTCTGGTCATTTGAAAAGGGTTCAAAGGAGGCTCATATTTACTTACAGGACAAAAATAAGGCCACTGTGCTTCCCATAAAGATGGCGTAGATACGTAGGAAAAAGAGAGGCAGCCTTGTAGAAAACCACGCAAAGAACCACCGATAATTCAGAAGGAGAAAATGCCAAAGGCTAAGAGGAAAATGTGACATTTGGGAATAATTTGCACAGGAAATGCAAATTAAGACAATGGAAGACCATTTGCATATGCTAAATATGCATCTAGACATGCATATGTATGCATGTATACACATATATGCCCGTGTGTGTATACCTACGTATCCACACACACACATGTGGATCTGTACTTTATAATCTCCACAGGTGACCAGGGCACACGAGGCAGGCACTGTCCTACCCTACCGGTGGATGTGCGCAGTGGCACCACTTCTCTGAGACTTATTGGGGAACAATGACCTAAAGTCTAGAAAGAATTTTTTTATATCCTCTTCTACCAGTCATCACTTTTGTAAATTATGCAGGTATGCACACAAAGACATATACAAGGAATGTCGATTTTAACATTCTATGATAGCAAAATTTTTACGATACCTAAGATACTGTCCATCTAAGACAAATTTCCAGGCAGGCTTAACAATTATGCTGCTGACGGGCATTACGAACGTGGGAAAGTGAGTTTGGAGCTTGGACATTGGGTGGTTTCTTCTTCGCTTCTGCCTTTCTTCATTATCCAAACTGCCTTAAATGAGCACTCAATTCTCGCAATGAAAAAGCTGAAACTTAAGCACCTACTTGCTCAGTTTAACCCCCATCACCTTTTCACACAAGAAAGAATCCACGCTCCCTGTCCCATGCTGCCCTCCTGCGGGACACAGGGCACTGGTCACTACCACGGCCAGGCTCGGGTGCCTCTGCCTCAGCATGGGAAAGACGACATCGAAGCAGATAATTACCTTCCTCTCAAGAATCCTAAAACCGTGGGAAGGGTAAAGCAGAATCTCATTTGCTATTGAGAAGAAAACCGATGCTCAAGCCCTATTCTTCCAATTCATTTATTCATTCGACAAAAATCTCCTGCATCCCTCTGTGAGGCTGAGAAAAGTCACCAGGGCCCCTGCTTCCCTGAGCTTACAGGTCAGCGAGGAAGACAGACAAGAGTCAAAAAACCTATTGGACAAAAGAAAAAACAAACATACATAGGAGAGTCCAGAGGACCTCTGAGTGTCAATGAAAGGGACGTTTAACCCAGTCATGGTGTTCTCTATTCTCTTATGTGACAGTCACTCAGGTGTGGCCACAAGGAGGCTGAGAGAGGCTGAGGAAGGCTAAGTCATCACCTCACAGGTCGTAGAGGCAGGAGTCATGGCACACACACACAGGGCCACACAGAAGTACCAGGGTGGACAGGAGGCAGAGGGGAAAGGAACGATGGGAGAGCCTAGGCCGTGCGTTGGGATTTCTGGGAAAGGCAGGGCAGGTGAACAGGATTAGCTAGTTGTACTTTTCTGATGGGTCCCTAGTGAGATCCTGGGATGACTCCGACAGAGCGGGGACAGGCCAGGTGGAGGAGTGTGGCTGTGTGCATGTCACAGGCACGCTCCTGTTGGGCCCAGCTATCTCTGGAACTAACTGGCTGGCTCCGTCAGTCTCCCCAGCCAGAAAGGTTTTTAAGATGTCAAACATCATAGAGATCAGCCTATGGTGTGAACACTGGTCTCCTCCAAGACGCATGTTGAAATATGACTGATATTGTCACAGCATTAGGGGACAGAGCCTTTGTGAGGCAATTGGGCTGCGAGGGCTGTGTGTCCTCATGAACAGATTACACCGTCATGACGGAATTGAGTTCACCATAAAAAGGCGGGTTTAACCCTTTTTGCAGCAGTCTCTCAGCCTCTCTCTCCTTCTTGTGCACACGTGTCTGTGCACACGCATTCTCCTCACCTTCTGGCATGCGGTGATGTGCCAAGAAGGCCTCACCAGATGCCAACCCCTTGGTATTGGACTTCCCACCCTCCAAAATTATGAGCCAATAAATTTCTGTTCATTATAAATTACCCAATTTCAAGTGTCCTGTTATAGCAGCACAAAAAAGACCTAAGGCAGTCAAGGTGGCTTCAGAGGAAAGGGCTGACGAGTAGGGAGGGGCCAGCCCCACCAAAGCCATGTTAAGATGCTATGTCCCCATCCTAAAAGCAATAGAGGGTGTGGGGGGGATTGCTCAAATGGTAGCGTACCTGTCTAGAAAGCATGAGGCCCTGAGTTCAAACCCCAATGCTCCCCCCAACACACACACAAAGCTAAGAGAAACAGGACAGATTTAACGTACAGGGATGACACAATCAGATATGCATTTTTAAAAGATGGTATTAGAGCAGCCAAAAAGGATACAAGTCGATCCACTGTGACCATCCAGGGAAGATCCTAGGAGGACACAAGAAGAGTTGGGAGAGTGGCTGCCTTCAGGAAAAATGTCAGCAGTGAAAGCCAATAACCAGAATGACACCAAGGTCTCTGCCCTTGGATGCTGGGGTCATTTGCAGAGACAGGGAACCTGGAGGATGACAGGGGATGAGAGCTTGCAGCCACACTGATTTTTCTGGGGTGTTCCTGGATCAACCACAGTTGGATGCATCTGTCTGGAGCTAAGAAGAAGCCTCACATTTAGAATTTGCCACCATCCTAACTCCATGGGAGATAAGCCAGTCTGTGTGGCGTTCAGACACACATGAGCACCGATAAGTACCTTCACATGTGTCTTAGTGCATCAGAGCTGCTATAACAAAACACCAGAGCCTGGGTAGTTTATAAACAACAGAAACTGATTTCTCAAATTCTAGACAGGTGCTGACAAATTCACTGTCTAGTGTGGGCTGAAGGAGCCTCTTTTATAAGGGCGCTAGTCCATTCAGGAGGGTCCACTCCCGACCTAAGCACCGTCACAGGCCCCATCCCCTACTAACACCATTGTCCTGGGCTTAGGATTTCAACACATGAATTCTGCAGACATGGAACACACGTTCAGACCATCTCTACCAGGGAACAGCAGCTAGGTGCTGCAGAAGAACAAAGAAAGAAAGAAAGTAAGAAGAGAATGTGGTCAGGGGAGCCATGGGAAGACCGTGCTTCCAGAGGGAAGAACGCGGAGAGCTGCTGGAAGGTCGAGGAGACACAGCAACACATCTGCCGGAGGGTCTCTCAGCTCCGTGGAGGGTCGGGGAGGCCAGTGGGCCATGAAGAAGACAATAGCTTCGTGCAGAACTTGGCTGGGAGGAGCAGCATGGAAGGAGGAGAAGGTATGCTCATTGTTTTTAGTCACAAGGACCTGTGGGCATTTCGGAAGAGGAACGGTTGATCACATGAGCAAAGGGGACAAAAGGGACCTGCGAGGATGTTGAGCCCAGGGCACTGGCTGGGGACAGAAAGAGCCACTCTTCCATTTTGAGAGGGGAGGCCAGGCCAAGGGCAGACGTGAGGAGGTTGGCAGTTCTGTCAGGGACGGCACTTCTATGTCAAGTAAAGGAGATGGTCCCTATGTCACTGCGGCCTCTATGGAGAAGAAGGTTCCACACAGTCATATTGCGCGGGAGGAAGAGGAGATAGCCTGGCACTTCTGGGGCAAATCCGTGCTGCTGGGAACCACCCCAAACCTGTGCCCCTTTGTTCTTTCAGCCTCCATAGCTGCCTCTGGGGACCAGTCCCCAAGACCTCTCCCTGCTGCTGGCACTGCCACAAAACCCACCAAGACTTCTGCCAAGTGCCCAGGACAGATCCACTTTGTGTTGGCAATGCAGTTGACAATTTTATGAATTGTTGTGCCACATCCCTCCTCTGTTTTTGGCATTTCTGCAGAAAGCATCAAACATAAGCACTGGCTTGAGCCAACTGAGCATGTGGCTTTCCACCACGAAGGTCTGGGAACATAAGACCAGCCTGAGTCAGCCAGCCCGAGCAGCAGAGCTCTGTGGCGATAATGCCACAAAGCGTCAATCATCTCACAGCTGAGCCAGCTGGGGAGGGGGAAGTCGCATGGCTAGAGAGACCCAGTCACATCCCAAGTGGCCCGATGTTCACAGGACTGGGAGAAGGGCGTGACCACGGAGGACCTTAACGGCTGAGCCCGGAGCAGCAAGAAAACAGGATGTTGCTAGGCAACGGGAAATTTGATGTGCAGGGGTGGGGAGGGGGCTTCAGGGAAGCAAAGGGAGCTGGACCAGG